ATATTGTGCAAACCTTTTTGCCAAGCTTTTTCATCATATGCTTGGCCTGGTTTTCGTTTTTCATGGGACTCGATTCGGTGCCTGGACGAGTCACTTTGCTGGTCACATCGCAACTGACTCTTGTGACAATGTTTGCGTCGAGTTTATCTGCTGCGATTCCTCCTGTCGCATATTTGAAAGTCAGTTTCATTTTGAGGCATTATTTGTTTTGAAAATCGCACGAATAGCACCCGTTACTGCATTAGAAAGTATGCACGAAAAAAACACCTCGGTTTATTTGAGACTGGGAGAAATTATCATGAATATCGCAGCAGAAAACGTTTTCAACATCCCACAAAGAAAAAAGTTCGACTCGTCAACAAATGAGAAAAAAATTGAAATCATGATTTTCAGCTGTGATTAAACTTTTAAGAGTCAGCAATTTTCTAGATTTTCTTAATTCATATATACTTTATTTAGATGGAAAAATACTACATAATTTTAGATTTTCTCATTTAGAGCAAAGATTTCCAAGAGTATAATACCAATAGTTTTCATTCGTTTCCAAAAATTACAGCCATATACGTTTTTAATCGAGATGTTCTGCTTTTTTTTACAGGCAATCGATTATTGGATGCTGTATTGCTTGTTTTTCCTATTTTTGGCACAAATTGAATTCGTGGTAGTGAAAGTTCTGGACGTTCTGTATCGTTATGAAAGAACCGGAAGCTATTACAACAACCCTGGAGCAGCAAATTCGAAGGTATGAAGGTCTCAAGCAATTCTAGTTTTCTTTTCATTAGAAGCATTATCTTGATTTATTACCTGGATATAAATTCCAAACTTGAATATTAGCATATGACGGACAAATTTTCCAAATTAAGGGGGAAAATATTTCAATACCGGTATTATTTCGAGAAGAGAACGACGGTATTTAGGGATTTTATCGACATAGCCTTCCAGCATTTTTTAATAATTTATTCGAAATAGCTCGGGATTAGAAATGTTCTACGCTTGTATCAAATAATTTTTTCTAGAAAGTTTACCAAGCTCCATTAACGAGTCAATCTAAAATAGTAAATCCTTTCCATCAGACAAACATTTTCTGCAAATAATTCTGGAAAAATGTCAAGACTCCCCCGAAAGATTATTTTAAGTAATTAAAGCCAAGTCATTTATTTCTCCGTTCAAAAAACTTGGACAATCATCAACGTTGGCTCTCTTCAGAAAATTGCAGAATTTCTCAGAAGAATCATTGGAACGGCGACTTTTAAACTTTGAATACTCGTCATGTTCGAGTGACACAATTTCACTCAATTTTATTTTATTTTTTTATTTTTCAGCCGTTGAAGAAGAAACGTCCGAAAGACGAATCAGCTTCAAGTTCGCTCCAATCATCGTCATCGTCGACCAGCGGGGCTTTTAAAGGCTTGGCCGGAATTTTCCGTCGCACAAACACGACAGGAGCATGGAGTGTCGATCACGAAGCCAGAAAACAACACCAGGAAGAGATCAAATTGCAATTGGAACAAGAAAACAGTGACACTGATTACCAGGATCAGCGGGGATTCTGCAATTTGCACTTGGGTTGGATTGACGAAAAGGGTCGCGAACGGCTTTTGTGGAGAGAAATCGACATCGCTTTTCGATTTATTTTCCCGATTTTGTTCGGGATTTTCAACCTGGTCTTCTGGCCCATGTTGTACAAAAGACACTTCTGAAAATGCTGTCATTCTTTATAACGAGGGCCTCATGAACAGGGCGTTCACAAATTTGTGATTTTCTGAAGCTGAAAAAGTTTATTTTTCGTAGCACTATCGAAAATTATGGCATTTCTAGTTCAGAGGACATTTTCAAATTTTAATTTTCCTCGGAAAAAAAAATTTTATTACAGCATATTCCGACTGGAATTTTGAAAGAAAATCAAATTTTTCTCGGAAAACGGTGTTTCAAAAAACGATCAACTCGTCGTCGAGACTTCATTTGGACACTTTTCGAATAGAATTGCAATCTTAGTTGGTTTCTTTTTGCAAGGATCATCCTCATTGATTTGACATTCTTCAAAAGAAATCCCATTCACTTCTCAAAGACTTGAGCATATTCTAAAAATTTTAAATTCATCCTAATTTTTGGTCGTTGTTTTTTCGCCGTTCCTCGGGTAAAATTACTATACAGTACTCCAAAAATCGTTACCAAAACATAAAAAAAAAACTGAAAAAATTGTCTAAATCTAGAGTTGTATCCTCATTGAGTAAAATATTTACGTTATCTGTACTTTAATAGGGACAGAAAAATATGAATTTACAGGTCTACTGTATTTTCAACGGTGTATTTGAGTTGAATCTAAGTTTTGAACATACATTTGACATTTCGAGTGATTCTTTAATGCCGGTGTATTTTATGGTGACGAAATGGCTTTAAATTTTGTCAGTGCCTTCAGTCATTGAATTTGACTTTTTTTATGCCAGAACATACAAACATGTATTTATCTTGAATTTTTCGAAGAGGGAACGGAACGTGATCCAGCAACAAAATTTC